TTCACATTCTGTCTCTCACAGTTGAAGTGTACCTCTGGTGCAAATTACTGACCTCTGTCATCATTTTAAGTGGGGGAACTTGCACAGTCGGTGGCTGACTAAATACTTTTTTGCCCCACTGTATATATCAGTAGAGATCACCTCCACTAATGTCTGATGCAAATACATGCTTCAAGAGGCAGGCAAAGAGTTAAAGATATAGGAACCTGTAAGACAGATTAATGCCATTATTTTATGCAAGTTATAATTTTAAAATATTTAATAACCCCAGGTTACCCGAATTTTTGTAGGCATGTACATGTGTTTCTTTGTACACTTGTCGCCTCAACATGAATCTGTTTACATAGCATTATATTGAGGGCAAAAAGAAAATCGTAAATGACGTAATCTTTGGAGGCTTAGAAGATTTATGTTTAGGTTGGGGTGACGTTTTGGTTAGGTCCTTTGGAGGGACAGAAACATGTAAGCACGTGTGTTTATATGACTACTTGTGATGTGGTACCCTCTGTTCTCTGGTTCATGGGAATCGCAAGCCTGTCATTACTTTTTTTCCTGATATAAAATCACCAGAGGAATGTCTGCACCACACTCACACACTTTGTGTCTGACATCCCACTAAAACCATTTCCACACTGCCCCCAAAAGCCTCTTGCACTAAAAACAGCTGGTCTGCTCAACTGACCCTCAACCCTCGGCTGCTTGGAAGCTGCTGACTGCTCTCAGTCACTGTAACTGTGTATTTAAAGGTAAAGCAGGGCTTGCACTACAAAAAACAAAGTTCCAGTAACAGCAACAGCAGCTGTGCTCCAAATCAGAGTGTGCTATTTAAAATAATCACAAAATAGATCTTAAGCTACAGCTCTGGGGCCTGAATTCAAGTCAAACGTAAAAAAACAGAACCTGAACCACTACTTATTCTAATTTTATAATAAAAATGGATCAAATGAGTAGTTTAAATGTAAATAGGAAAAGGAAATGATCACACAGCTCTTTAGTTTGAATTAAGTTTGCAGAACTTGATAGCATCTTTCAGTTCATTCATTTTGTATTCTGGGACGTATATTTTGCTGTTTTTCCATCCAAAATTCTTTGATTCTTTCACCTGTTTTCAGTGAAAGCCTCTAATAAGCAAACATACAGACATAGTTAGATTCTACTAGATGGATTTAGTGGAGCATTTAGAAGTTAAAGAGTCAAATAAGACGGGGTGAAGATCAAAACTAGAGCTAAAAGTGGATCAACACTGGACCTACTCTGCATTTGCATGTGAAAACTGCTTTTTTCTCAGCTCCTGACACCTTGTCAGGAGCAGTAACCACAGCAGCATTACAGCACAAAAAAAATGAAATGTAGTACAGCTACGAATAGTCTGGAAAGGGACAATATAAAGTCTTATGAAGTGAATGGAAAAGAATTCTTAGCGTGCAATTTTAAATTATGCTTGATTTCTTTTCACACAAATTACTCTCAAGAATAGAAAACAGTGTGACACAAAAACAAGATGTGACTAAGTGACAAAGACAGATTAGGTGATGAAAACTTCTATACAAGTCACAATAATTTCTACTGTGAGCTCCAGGATGTTTTCTTTGTATACAAGGCTGACCAGTGTGCTGCTGCTCTTTGTGGATTTAGCAAACCAAATTCAATCGATGTTACAAGAGCTATCGTGGCGATTCTCCAAGCCCTACAGATGACAAAGTGTATATAAAGGTGGAATTTAATGACTCTGTGACACTGACATGAACACCGCTGCTGCTCAGCACTAGTCCAATATATTACATCACTGTTAACGTTACCACAGTAATACAAACTAAACACTTTTGCGGTACACTTCCTGGTAATTTGATGTAACCTTTGAATAACACAAAATTGTAAGACATCCGTTTGTTCTGCAGGTTGTTTCACTAAATTAAAAAAACACAACTTCAGAACAATATCATATGTAGGCCCATTGTGTGATTAAAAATCCTGAAATAAATGAGGAAATTTAATATAGCCTGTTAAATTCCTATGGAATTTTTCCCAACAGTGTTTCTATCCTATTCAATTCAATTCAATGTTATTTTTACAGTGCCACATCACAACAACAGTCGCCTCAAAGTGCTTTATATCAGCTAGACCCTACAATAATACAGTACATACAGAGAAAAACCCAACAATCATATGACCCGAGCAAACACTTTGGCAACAGTGGGAAGGAAAAACTCCCTTTTAACAGGATGAAACCTCTGGCAGAACCAGGCTCAGGGAGGGGCGGGGACATCTGCCAGGACCAGCTGGGGAGAGAAGGAAGACTGGATAAAATACTCATGCATCATGGGAATCTGTTGCTCCAACGGAACTTATTGTTTCGGACGAAAACACGAACACAGCGTACAGTCGAGTCTTAATAGCTTACTTACAACGGCACTCTTTTTGGCTGCAGTGGTTATTATTATATTTACATGCTTCCAGCTCCCGTTTCTGCTTGATGACAGCTCGTACTTTTCCTTTTTCTCCCTCCCTCGCTCACAGACACATAACGGGTATGGCAGTCCATTCTCCCTGCAGCACAGACTACACTGCCCATCAGGCTACATTCTTTAGCGCTATGCCTGTAGCATTCTGCCTATTAGCTTAGCACAACAACAATAACAACAAAAAGGCGCTCTCTCACCCAGGAAACACACAGTAGCGCGCGTCATCCTGTAACCATGGTAACCGTAACGCTGCTGCCTGGAACAACAGAACGTAGCTGTCAAACAAAACCTAAACAGTCCTGACCCGCGACAATGTGAAACAGGAAAATACTGCCGTGTAATCCATTTATTTCAACAAAGTAACTGTATTCTAAGTACCACCTTTTTAAATGGTAACTGTAACGGAATACTGTTACTCATATTTTGTATTTTAAATACGTAACGGCAGTACATGTATTCCGTTACTCCCCAACACTGACCACTGTTAATCCATTTGTTTATACTGATGCATGTGCAGTGGATTAGATTTCTTTATAGTATATGAAAGGGAATCCTTGTATTGTCAATTGCAGAAAACCTCAGCATCTCGGCATTGCATGCATATATAAATGGAATGATTGATAAAGCTTTGCAGCCTTTGCAGTTAGCAACTAAAGAGCAGATATTTCCTCAGTTGTGGAGGACAAAGTCAAGCTGAAAGCGAAACAAACAGATAAGTAGCTCTGTATCTAAATAGGTCAGCTGATAACTAATGTAGTTACCATAACTTTGTGAGGTGGGGATTGCTCTGCTGCCTCTAACTGGTCAAACATGAATAAATGCAGCTTTCACTTTTAAATCATTTTAGTTTCACTTACCTGATCCAAATACATTAAAGCCTAAACCACTAAAATTACATTTATTGTACTTCTGACCCCAAAAAATTTAACATAAATTTACATATTTGATTTATAGTTTTTTGCTACATCTGGCATGTTTTGTGTAGTTTATTGCTTACAGCTTTTGATCTTAAGCAAACAAAAACATATAAGTGTGTTATGGCCAGAGAAATGACACTGATGATGTAGAAGTCTCATAAACTAATGATACAGTTGGAGTTAGAAGTGATGTTAGATGTGAACAAAACAGTCATAAAAAGGAAACATGACACAGTTTCAATTAACTGTTTTGAAAAAAAAAAAAAAAATCAGTGTCAACAGAATCAGCATACAGATATATTTAATTCTTAAAAGATTTACAATATCTTACATATGGTACATATTCTATTGAAAAGCGGGATAAACGATCTTTGGCACACTCAGTTTCCTGGTGATACAGACAGAAAACATACACAGTTGTAAAAAATACATCTTTATATAGTCTTTTGATCTCTGCATAAGCGCTGTAGAAGGAAGACTTTCCCTTTTAGCTTTGATTTGTCATCTGTATTACAGTTTATGTCTCTGTGTACAACGTGCTTGCTTATCTGGAAAACAAAGTTAAGGCATAGCTTGGTAGAAAGAAAAAGAGAACACACACATACATTCACACACCCACAGACATATATTCCTTTAATTTCCTGCTGGTGAGGATGGAATCTGTAGCATCATTAGTGTTAAGGCGCTGCTGACAGTTTGGCTCAAAGTTGAACAGACAAAGGCACTTTCAGGCAAAAGGCACGTTAGAGTACATAAAAACATCTGTAATAAGTAGTAGGTGGTAAAGTGCACACTGAATATCTTTGGTATAGGATGTATTGCCCAGTTTGTTTCTCGTGGAGAGACCTTGAAGAGAAGCCCGTCAGACTCGCCACGCTCAGCGTATCTCGAGAAGCTTCCAGTTATCTTTTTTGGTTCTGTAGCTATCAGCTGATTATGTCGAGCCACATCTTAAATGTGGCGAAGACCAAAAGCATCCAAAAGTTGATCTTTGCTGGGCTACAATGGCAGATGACGCTGCGACTCACACTCGGCTTGGCTTAAAGTCCTACAAGAGCTGAGCTCCAGGACACTATTCAGAGTTTAGTCCTCAGTCCCATCCCAGGAAGTGGCATTTTTCTCACTTCTTGTCGCTAATGGAGCAGTCCACAGCTATGATGTTTTGTATTTCTGTAATTTTCACTTCCTCCTCTGGGATCTCCACCTCTACTGGGATCTTTAGTTCCTCTACAATCTTCTCCGCCGAGGAGCTCCGGCTGGACAGCTTGCCCATCTCGTCTTCCAGCTCAGAGATGCGTTCGGCAATGCAGTGTGCAGTGAGGCGGGCCTCGGGATCGTGGTCCCAGCATTCCTTAATGGTGGCGCACATCACTGCCATGCCCTGTAGAGGGAGGCAGAGAGCATGTGTTATCAGATAGAAACCTTTTAAAAGAGAGAGAGTGCTAGGAGAATTCTACAAAAGCAAAGATGAGTGCAGAAATAAAACTATTCTATATATGTAGTTTTTATATCCCAGTGACCACTGAAATAAAAGTCAGATAATTCCAAGATAGTCACGGAATGCTGAGACTTGGTTAGTTTAGTTAAAACTTCTTACACATGAAATCAAACCAGTTATAGTGGTTCTAAGAGAAGTTATAAATGTACAAGCACTGAAGTTAAAAAGCAAATTAAAAGCAACACTTTCATTATTTAGAAGCAGTGAACTCAGTCGGTTTTAGATGTTACAAATGCATAAGGCAGCTTTCACCTCATTAAACCAAAGTTTAGCTAATTGCCATTTTACAGTGAGCAGAGTAAAGTTGGAGGCACCTCTACTGGGACTAAACTGTTATTAAAACCAAACCTGTCTCCGTATTTAGAAGGTGGCTGACTGTAGCACAGTCAGCAAAGAGGCTGCCTGGAACCGCCGTGACTAAAAAGGTTGTAGTATTTATTGTACTTCAACTTTATTGCATCACATTTGTTAGAGAGCAATGCTCTTTTTTTCCTGCCTTTCTTCTCTCACCCCAACCGGTCACAGCAGATGGCCCCGCCCCTCCCTGAGCCTGATTCTGCCGGAGGTTTCTTCCTGTTAAAAGGGAGTTTTTCCTTCCCACTGTCGCCAAAGTGTTTGCTCACAAGGGTCATATGATTGTTGGATTTTTTCCCTGTATGTATTATTGTAGGGTCTACCTTACAATATAAAGATCCTTGTGGCAACTGTTATTGTGATTTGGCGCTGAATTGAAACTTCCACTTATGTGACTGGCATTTATGTCAGCATTAACATGTCTCTGCTGTCTTCACACAAACAAGCAAAGCAATTTATGATTAGGATTTACCAAAAAGATTGATTGAATATAGGGGAAAGTGTTAAATGCAAAACTGTTTAAAGAGCAAAGAGACGAGCCACAGCCTATGCTGAAAAATGTTTTCAAGTGTCAAAGGCTGGCTTTTACTGTTTTACTGCAAAAGTTAGTTTTTTAAACTTGTTCTCACTCCATTGTGCTTATTAGCTATGAGTCCATCACACAGGTAAACTAAACCAAAGAAAAATAATAATAAGCATAGAAAAATAAATAAACTACAACAAGTACAATGTACAAAAGGGGATACATTATCGTATAAATTAGTTAAACATACTATTACATTCAAAATGTACACTTGTGTTATATAAAATTATGTGTGCAAAAAATCGTGACAATAGATACATATTTACTATTGTAAAATATGAAACTTATTTGAGTGTTCACACTCAATTGATTGATTGTGTTATTTTAATTTTAATTTTAATTTTGTTCTACATTGTAGAAAGCTGCATCTAAAATTTTGATTAGTACTGCAGTCTAACGCACTCACCTGGTGCCTGAGCCAGCTGTCGGGGATCTCAGGCCTCCCTCTGTCTCTCAGCACATTATCCTTCATGCTCTCCACACAGGGGTGCTCTCGCACTTTCGAGCCGTACGCCGGCTCGTAATCCTTTACTTCTGCAAAACACAAGCACAACTCACAGATCAGACATGGACTGCAGACCCTAAACTGAGCTGCAAGTAAACCACATCCTTCTTTACAGCCACTTGTATGTACCAGTATTTGTCATTTTCAAAATCTTGAAAGGTACGTATGATGATATATGAAAATTTTAAGATAAAGAAGAAAAGGAAAGAGAGGGAGAGGGAAACTGAGTGTGACAGGTGGCTGAGTTAACCTTACTAGAAAGTGCAAAAGCATCCTGGTATGAGGTCATTACACCCCAAAACCACTGAGCTTGAATTTCCACCCGAGCTTTGAGCCTTGTACGCTGGCACCAATAATGCTGACAGTGGGAAAGAATTGCTTTTATGGAGCCTTGGCGGGAGGAAAAATGCCCACTTTGGCACTCAAATGACGATCGTGTCTAAAAACAAACAAATCAGCTTCCGCTAACAAGCCATTATTTGCAACCTCAGAGCAAAGAACACCAAAATAACAATATTTTTTTACTCTTTTATGCTCAAAAAATAGCTGGGGTGCAGGGGGTGGGAGGGCATCATGTTGAAACCATGAAAAATGAAAAACAAGGCTCTGGGATTGGGTCCAGACCTCATGAAACCGAACTCACAACAGCTGCAGTCTGACTCCAACCCCGGAAAGGAAGGCTCCCAGGATCTCACAGTTGCTGTGTAATGAGATACTAATCACTGCAAACTCATTTCTGCTTGCCCATCTGACACCAGAAATGATGCACAAATAATTAGCAAATAATCTATCCCTGGATGTCAGTATTCTTATGCTTAATAACAAAGTGTTCTTCCCAACCTGTCAAACACTGGGTATTATTCTCTAATAAAGTGTCATTTGTGCTACATTTTGCTGCAGTTTGCTTTTCTCTGTTCTGCTGCCTCCAAACCAATGGTCTTTGGAAGTCCATTTGATTCTAAAGGGAACTAAATCCTGACCTGGTGAGTCACACAGGTCACACACAGTCCGGTGTCTGGGTGGATCTCTGGGTGTTTTAGTCAGTTGAGGCTGACCACATTTTAGACCAGGTCTAAATATCCTTGACTCTATTTGGGCTAAGTACTCGGTTTCCCTTTACATTCGGTCTCTCGTTTTCCAAAATATTAGTCATGTTTGGTTAAGTTTCACTAGTTTGGTTTGCAATTCTTAAACGCCTGCTGCTCAGTGTTCGTTCGTGAACTTTCAACAGCCTCACAACCATTTAACTGGCACCTCTGAACCTTCAAATCATCTCACATTGTCTGCAACAGCACTTTAAGAAATTTTTCTAAACTTAAAGTGTATTTACCACCTTTGACCAAAGATGCAGTCATTGGTATGTCACTCAGAATCAGAATCAGAATCAGAAAGGGTTTTATTGCCAAATGTTGAGCAGGTTTACAACAT